ATATTTTATATTTTTGGCCGGCTGCTAGAACTCGTATTCCTCACACTAGGGCGTCCCACGGCGCGCCCCAATAGGTACACCGCGTTAAACAGAGGTACACCAGGGCAATACTACGCTACATGGTGCACCGTTGTAGTACGTATATACCTTGGTAGCACGATTATACCGCCCCGGTGCGATATGTCTGGTGATAATTCGGTGTGTATAGTCCGTCTGAAAAGTCGTCATATGCGAGTCAATAGAATACTCTGACACGCGTTGATGCGCTTGTATGTCGAGAATAACAGTTCCCGCCGCGGTGGTGGCCATAGTCGCCTGCCCTTGGCTGTTATACTAATTATAGTCCGCTTCGTCTTAGGTCCGCCGAAAAGATATTTAAGATTCTCATTTCAAACCAACGACTCAGCAACATATCTGGTGAAGTAACAAATGAAACCAGCTGTTTGTACAAATTTGTGAGTACCTACCTTAGTATCTTATATACTATTATGTTTTGTAAATTTTTGCGAAAAGTCTCGAGTCGTACCTACGTGTATTTATTATTCAATGGCAGATACTAAAAAAATCCAAAAAGAAATTATTGAAAACCACTGCACAACAAATAAAACAGCTTATTACTGATTAGCTATTCTATATACAGATTATAATAACGTCATTATATGCATACAGGGCTGGTTGTAAGTTTGGGGGGGGGGGAATAGGAAATTTACCTTGGTGGCAGAAAAATGAACAAAAAATTAAATTTTGTTTGTAAAGGAAACATCAGTCTGAAAAATTATGTGCTGAATAATTAACAGTGATATTTACAACTATTATTTAGTTTAAAATTGTAATATTATACGTGTTATCTTATGTGAGTGTTACAAAAATTGTGAAGTAATTTTTTCAGGAGATTATTGCGGTTGAAATGCATTTTTTTGGCCATTTTTTTAGGTAGTATTTAGGGCATTTAAATCCAGGCCCTAATTATAATGTATAATTAAAAGAAGTTAGTGCAAATGTCAATTTAATATTGTACCTTTGTACTGAAATAACTTTAAAATTAGTATTCGAAAAAAATATTAAGTGGTTAATTTTGTTGGTAAGTATTATGTATTTAGGTATATTTGGAAATTAAATGGCCGGACATCATATTGAAAACAGTATCAGACACAATTGAAGAAAGAACAGTGCAAATGTGCAATGCAGTATGCCAATAACGACTACGTCAAGCACTTCACTAAGTACTAACTAATACACTGTTGTATTTTTTACATCCAGATTTCCTACAGGTTCTATCAAAAATTCATAACTTCAACAAATAAAATCACTACCTAATACATTTAGCAAACAAATAATAATGATAGGATTTTTAAACCTCAAATTTATGAATAAAATATGTAGGTACTATTAGTTAATGTTTATTTTTTAAATACTTAATTACAATTTCGATATACATTTTATATTACGATGAGAAGATTACATAGGAGTGTTGTCAATGGGTGACATGATTTACTCAAATCACTGAGGTACAAAAAAACTGAAACATTATCTATATGCTTATTAGTTATTATACCCTAAACTATTGTACAACTCAAATGATAAAACATTATAATATTATACATTTATATTCACGTAATAATTAATAACATATAGTATGTATAACATAACGCAAATGCATAAAAATTCAGTCAAAGTGAATCACAGATAATTGAGTGAAGTTAAAATACTGCGATATTAATTTATTGTTATAAGCGTAAATCTGCGTAAAAATAATAAAATAATAAAAACACTAAAAGGTACGTAACTGATGGTTACTGGCTGAAAATAATTAAACATTCAAACGAGATAACCACGGATACTAGCAGGTCGGTATATCGACGCTGAATAATAAACACATTTTATTATTAATTTAGCTAAAAAAACAGTGTGCACTATATTTAACAATTTTTCTTTTTGGAATTTCGCATCGATTTATATAGTATCTCCAAAATAATCTACAACCGAAAGCGATCTCGTTAAGATGGATGTGATGATCATATATCAGAAAACTGTCGAATATTGAGGAAGTAGTAGGTAAGACTAATAACGAAATTCTTAAATCCGGCGATATTGATCATTGTACAAATTATAGACCTATATGGCTAAACAACGTTTGATTGATTTTTTGAATATACATACATTTTTACTAAAAACCAATTTGGATTTTGGAAAAATAAATCAACAAAATTTGCACTGTTATTAGCTTCGAATTTTATTCATTCTAGTAGACATTGACAATGACAATAATAAGGTAGGTAATTGGTTTGCATTTAGATTAAAAAAATGCTTAACATAAAAAAATATTAAAATATTAATGTGGTATTATTGGTATTGCTCAAGATGTGTTTATTTCATATTATTTTTCGAATAGATTGCAATGATTGTATTTTACATTGTATCAATGTTGGACCAAGTTTGTCGTATTCCACCCATGGTGGATTAATATAATCAGTTAATACAAAATCCTAACCATACTAATATCAGACGAATAAAAAAAAAACCAAATTTAACGATTTTTAAATTAGCCTGTCTTCTTCCCAGAGTTCTAATATACACACAAACATTAATTTATTCATAATATATATTGACAAAAAACAATAATACAAATCAACAAATATAGCCCATACCCGATTAACCAATAGCAACCAATATAAATTATAATAAACTGTTGCGCCACCGTTGTACTTTTTACATCCAGATTTCCAAATTTTCCTGTGGATTTTCCTAAAATTTTCTTTCTTATTAACCTTCTCCCAGCAATTACGAACATCCTAAAAAAAATTTGAGCCAAATCGGACCAGCCGTTCTCGATTGATGAGGTAAGGACCATTTTTCACGCTCCATTTTTATTTATATATAGATTATGATGTGCAGATGCCAGATTGCATAGGAGTGTTGTGAATGGGTGAAATAGGTAGTCACTCAAATCACCGATGTACACACAAACTTAAACATAATTTATAATAATATGCTTATTATACATTTATACCATAAATAATTATTGTCCAACACATATAATAAAATATTATAATATATCTATGTAATAACATAGTATAACACAACGCAAATGCATAAAAATTCAGTAAAATGTAACTAGGTAGGTAGGTGAAGTTAAAATATAGCGATATTTGTTAAAAGCGTGAATCTGTGTAAAAAAAATTTAATAATAAACCAAACTGATAGTAGCTGGCTGAAAAGAAATAAACATTAAAAACCACGGATACTATTTGACAGGTCGGTCGTATCTATATGGACGTTGAATAATAAACAAATATTATAACTATTTAGTTTACCTAAAAAAACAATATGTACCTATTATATTTTATATCTGTAAGTCCAGTGATTGTCTTGCACTAATAAATTATAGCAAAAAACCAATTTTTCTTTTTGGAATTTATAAACGAAGGTTATGTTGATTTATGATACAGCACCCAAGTCTGCGTGTCTTTATTAATATGTTGCTGATGATAATTCTATAGTTGAAATTGTGTGAGTATGTATTATTATAATTTCTTACCTGGGTGATGTTAGGTATATGATTAAACGATGATGGATTTTAAGATGAGAGTTGGACGATGTTAGTTTTCTCGAAATAACGCAAGTACAATTTTGATATGAGTAAAAGTTATTTCAATAATTCACAACAAGATTTAAAATTTGAATGAGTACGTTAAATTAATAAACGCTGCATAGTATTATTATATTGTTACCATGTTTTCGTTTGAAATAAATAATTTCTGTACACTATATCCATAACCAGATGCAAACCAAAATTATATTTTTGAATAGCTGGGAACTTTCTTTACGTGTTATATGCATTCAATATATGGTAAACATGAGTAATTTTAAAAAGAAGTCTGTCAAAGTGAAAAAAACATAAAAAAATTGAAACTTTTCTTTTAAGTGCGTAAAAAAAAAACTAAAAAAATTAAAAAATGTGTTTCTATATTTGTTAATTATTTGAAGGTATTCAAACTTCAAATTAATTGTATTAAAAGTTATAAACAAAAATTATTAATGCGAGAAAAATATCCAAGAAAAAAAGTAAATATTTCGAAAAAATAACGATTTTACTATAAAAACAATGTTCGGACAACGCTGTTAGTCACGTTAAATTGAATATAGGAACTCAGAATTTTATTTTAAGGTTCCTTGGGATGCATGTTTTAATATCGTAATTAAAAAACAAGAAAAAAGTTAAGTTAAAAATTTATGGTTTTTGCCGTGTAAATTTACGTTTCAGACCACTGTGAGACGACGAGGAAGCTTATCAGGTAAACAAAGGTTCATCGCTATTTGGGTCTCCCTCCTCCACAACGACCAAATTGGAATAATTTAAATAAAGGGCAAAAATTATATGCAATACGGCAACATAATATAGCACGTGCACGTCGTAATTTACCTCCATTTGTTTTAGGCGAAGAAATAGTTGTACAACCAGATATTCAAGAGGAGGAGGGAAGTGACATTTTTCGAGTACCTGATAATTGGGATTACGAAACAGACAGCGACTTAGATTGGCATTTTGACGGCGGTATAAATCCAAATAATACGACACCTCATTCATCACAATCAACACCGATGAGTGTTGCTACTTCGACAACACCTAAACGAGCAAATGATCAGGCACAGGGAAGTAGCAGTGGTTCCAAGAAGATGAAACTTCCTGGTACGGGGAATAAAACAGCTGATGATCCATGTACTGGGAATCCTAGTACTGAAAATGTTGTCATACCTCGGCCATTTCATAAATCAACAGGATATACAATGTTTTTTAGAAAAAACCACTCAATTATTAGTTATGGTTTGGCAAGTGTTCAGCTACAACTTGGAGCTTTGCTAGCAAACGTATGGGAACAACATCTCTAATGTACTTACCAGTAGACAAACCTTATTTTTATATGTCACCATCAGAGTTTAATAATATAGTTAGTAATATTCGTGGAGTACGTGTGTTGAAAGTGAAATGTAAAGTTGTTATGCGTAATCCTAGAACGGCTTTTGAGACCAACGTGTCAACAAGTAATTTGGCAACTTTAAATCAAAATAAATTTATACAACATGCAACTGGTTTAGTTAATTGCACTAGAGGTTTTAATACGGTATATGAATTTGCTACTGCAACTAACCCTATGGTGCCGACATCTTGTAAAATAATCGATACTACATTTATGAAAAAAGTAATAAGTGCTATAAGTAATATGTACGGGACAAAAAATGACGACTGGTTGAAACCGAATTGGTCCGCAGGTGCAACTTTACCATGTTCGTTTATGAATTTGCTTATGCAATTTCCAGCTTATTATACTATGTATGCAAACAGTGCTCAAAATCAAGGGAAAATTGGATGGCAAAATATTAATGAACACGTAACAAAAATGGATGCTAGCGCAGTTATAGGTACTACAATTATTGATTCCGAATATACACCTACTTTATCATATTTATCAATGCCGTGGAAAGCAATATTGGGAAGAGCGGAGTCTAAGGACACGAACAAAGAATCTTTTAATCTCGCAGATACTAATAGTATTGCATTACCTAATAGTTATACAATGGATAACACTAATGGTACGTGTAAAGCCAACGTATCTAATAATTATTCATTGTTGACTGACACTAAGTGGAAACAATTATTTTCTGATAATTTCAACCGATACATTGAACCTATAGAATGTGGACAGTATATAAAACAAGGTTTACATACGTCTACTTCTGTAAAAATTCAACCATCGTTACATATCGGTGTTTGCCCCGTACCACAATTAACCACCACTAATGCAAATTTTGTACCAGATAAGTTCACTGATATCGAATGTCTATGGGACATTGAAACTGAGCTTATCTGTGAATACGGTTTACCTTACAAATACACTACGTTTCCTGATTCCTGAATGTCATATTAAACTTGAAAATACTGCTATGGTCGTCGATAATAACACTTCGAAGAGCATGTTCTGGGAGGAGTTATCTTTGTTCAATAATCAATTTATTTCTCCGTCAACGTCAACATAACAATTATAGGAGATGACGGAACAAACAACACAACCGATTAACCGACCTTTATTCAGAGCAGAGTCTATTGTTGATGTACTACAACGACGAAATTATCAAGATCCGTCATTATTAGAACAATTTATAAATAATAAATAAATAAACACATGTTTGTAATATATATATATAATAAAGTATTTTATTGATTAATATTTATGTTATACATTTCAAATAATCTTAAGGGGCCTGCACGCGACCTGTTTTTTTGCTCAAAAACATGCCTTACAGGAAAAACTCTCACGCCTCGTAGATTGGTCCGATTTCCGTAATTTTTTTTTTGTTAGATAGAGGAAGACTTCTTACAGGGCGCATTGGATTGATTTTCAACATTATTTTTCAAGGTCTCATGTTACAAGTTTGAATTTAATCAATTTTTACAACTTTTTAGTTTTTGTATTATTTTTTGTTTTTAGCGACGTAATCAAAAATCGAAGTCCAATGCGCCCTGTAAAAAATATTCCTCAATCTAACAAAAAAAAAATTACGGAAATCGGACCAATCTACGAGGTGTGAGAGTTTTTCCTGTAAACTGTGTTTTGACCGATATAATACACCCTATCAACCCCCCCTAAATAGGTATTGGGTAGTAGATTAGTGGAAAAGTCTTATAATTGAGGTGGTAACTAAAATATAAAATTTAATTTTCAAATTTTATAGAATTGCGGAAAATTTGAAAAATCGCGAGCAGGCCCCTTAATAAAAATAATGGGTTTACTTTTTTATCATAGAGGCGCAAAAAAGGGGCGCTCTGCCAATGATATAACTTAATTCTAGTTTGGAAAGCAGACATACCGAAAATGGACAAATTATCATTAGTAAGAATTATTATAGGAGGGCCTTGCAACGTTTGGTCAGATTTATACTTTACAGATATTTTACAAGAATCTCCACCTAATAATGCTTTAAATTCATTTACGTGGTTTGCTTCATAATTTGGTTCATTCCACAAAACTAATCTTTTTCCCGCGGCTTCCATAAAAGCAAAATTATTTGTTTTATTAGCAGTGCCTAGTGTTCCGTAATTAATAAAAAAAAGACGCTACGGCGTCAAAAAAATAATTTTTCCCAGCGTTTGGTGGAGCTAATATGGCAAGTGTATTACATATTGGTATTCGTTTATCTAATACATTAATCAAATCTGTTAAAAAATAAAATACATTTTCAGTGTTATTGTCGAACTGATGTAACAATAGCTCATTAGCAATTTCTACTGATTTATCTACATTATAATATACTTGATCACGTAATCTGTTGTAAGCATTAAAATAAGGATGTACTTTATCGTCTTTGAAATAATTATCAAAATCGATAAGACGCCAGTGCATTAATTTGATATTCCAAAGTTCTAAATCCCTATCTACATATTTGTCTTTAGCGCATAAATAATTAAGATTGTCGTTTAAATAATATTCTTTTACATTTTTATAAGCCTCAGGGGGACAACATGGGTACTGGTACAATAATTCTGTTATGCTTACTGGTCCGTTTTCCGGCCGAACCCACGACTTTTTTTTACGCGCTTCAGATTTTTTTGAAGTAACATCTCCTCCCCCATCATTTTCACCACTTTTGACGACATGCTCACTGCTGGATGGTTCGCAGGGAATGTCCCTCTGCACCGCGCCGTAGCTCCCATCCAATAGTTCCCCTTCTGTTTGTCCCAAATGTCGGTACGCCTATAATAAAATATTAATTATTATAAATATGCGATTTGAACATTATTCGTAATGAAGTAATTTATATCTATTATTCATATCTATAATTGCTTTGTTTGTATGTTCTGGTAAATGATGCATTTTACACAAATTACATAATGGAGCTTTGACCTCATCCAATATAATCATGATCGTTAAAATAAGAAATAATAAAATTATTAATAATTTCAAAATTCCATTCGTACTCGCTACAATTTACCCATGAATCTTCAATAAAACATAACAATTTAAACATAAAATGAGCTTGTACATCGTCGGTATTTAATACGATTATTAACTGTTGTAATTTTCTACTATTATTTATTTCTATTATATCTAATAGATTATCAGGATCGTCCCTATTTAATTGTAATTTAATATTTTTAATCATGTTAGACCCAACTATTTTATTATATACAATTTTTTTCCTATTTAAATAATTATACCTTAATTTTAATATATAATTTTTTAAAACTAACCGATAAATATTTATATCGATCAAATAATCTTCCATTTTCTGAGAAACCTCCAATGCGTTGGATGCTTCTGCCGCCCGTAGATAAGTATCGCAATACGTTTCCGTAATCGATTGCCTGCATGTCGATCCCTCTAGTAATCCTACGAAGTCTACGTCTGCCGTCGACGCGCCAAAATGTGCCTCGAATAATGAAGGCGCACCGACAACACCCTCCCGAGTATCCACATATGTGGCTGATGTGGATGTGGTCGTCGTGCTTGGCAATGACGTAGAAATGTTGTGGAGGGTACTTGTCAATAAGGTAGTCCAGCTCTCGCAGACACCTCTGAACTCCCCTAACTCCAAGCGGCACAATGATGCTACTGACATATCTATAAAATTAAAATAATTAATAATAATATAAAAATAGTTGTACAATTTAATTAAAAAATACCTGTGTATCCCGGACATACATTTTGAAGCGAGTTCACGTCCAAGTTGGACAATGAGGTCTTCATATTTCTCCTGATTTGATTGTAAAGTGTCGTCATCTCTGTCGCCGACAACATCATCGTATCCTCCCATATCTTCTGTATCTCCGAACTCATCCATTTCTTCGGGTGAATCACTACATCGATCACGCTCTGAGAGCAAACCACGAAAATAATCACCATCAGAGCCGTCAGAGGATACTGATTCGTCTCCGTCTGAAATTAAATGTCTAAGAAATCCAAAAGGATTTCTTCGTTCGTCAGGTCTTTCTTCATCGTGGTCAAGGCGTATGTTTTCAGGTTCATGAGTTTTTGCGACCGTAGCTCCGCCTCCATCTGCAGTTTCGTTAGTACCAAGTCCGCCGTCTTCTTCACTATCTTCGATTTTTTTCGTTGTCGGACCCATCTGACGATCGCTCTTTCGCTTCGGTGATCCATCGCCAGAGCAGCTCTCTTCCGTTGGATTCATTGTGTCTGGACATTCGTTCGTGAACATTTCTAATTTACTCTACTAGTATATCTGCTTAGTAAAAGATAGTAATACTGTTGCTCAGACTTACGTTCAAGTAAATTGTCAATGATCGACTAACTGTTATGACTGCCGACTCCTATTTATATGCCTTTGAACAATGGTTGTTATTGTACTGTACTTATCGAAGGACATTTGATATTACTGATTAAGAATAATGTATATATTACGTAATCCGGTCGAACAACTCGAGTTTGATATAGTTCAGTCATATTTTACATTAAATATAATATTACCACAGTACTTGCTATCAATATATTACAGGTATATGAGTAAAAATTAATACCTAATAACATAAATAGCTGGGCTGTAATCACTTGAAGTATTAACATCCAGAATAAACCGTTTAGGAGATGAGACACATGAAATGTTACAAAATAATTGCAAGTCAAAAAATGAAACGAGCATGAATCATCATAATATTTTTGTTCTACAATCTTCTTAGTTTGATAAGTAAATACGACGGGGTATGATATAAAATTATTGTATCCAATACGAAAAACGATTCTGAGGTAAGACCTAATTTATTTTACTAGGTATATAAGGCATTAGGTACTGAATTAGTACAACAACAGGTTAAATTCATTTTTGCAAAAAAATTACATTGGAAAATGTCATTGTGTGCATAAAATATAATAATGTACCCTAAGAGTTTCATATACCCACGAATAATATTTTTAAATTAGGTACAACTAAAATCGTAATTCTGGGTTTTAAAATGTAATTTTGTTTAAATTTTAACTTATATAACAGTTACTAAAATTACTAAAATTTAACTTGAAATATCCGTAAAAAACAACTAGGTTTATATTTTTTTAGATTTTTTGGTCACAATATGAACTATTTATGAGAATCCTATAATGTAAGATACAAATCTAGATAAAAAAAGTATTTTCTACACAATATTTTTCTAGATAAATTTAAATATTCTATCCTCATATCAATCTATATATATTTATTTAGTTAGGTATAATCTAATATAATAATAATATTATCTAGATATTATTTTTACTATATGAAATCGACACTGCTTACATCAAAACAATTTCTTACTGTCACGCTAACTCAAAAATTTTTCGATATTATTGTTTAAAATGTATTAATCATTGAGGTACATACAACTATTTCGGATCCGTATTCTGATGAAAAAAACCTTTGATTGCAGAAAGCTGCTTTCATTGTTGATTTGTAGATCTTTGAATTTAAAACTATGTAATGGTTTTATATTGAAAATAAAATGAACAATTAATCCTTCACAAACTAAAAAAAGTAAAGTTAAAATCAATTTGGAATACTAAGAAATTACAAATTAAAACAGCAATCGGAAAAATATAAAGAAAATTCGTGAAAGTGATAACTGATGTACTTATATAGTTTAAAAGGTTTTTGAACAAAACTGAAACAATATAATTATTAATAATAAATAAACAGAGAAAATAGGTTGGTTTCCAGACATATTATTTGGCCAGCATAGTTATTTATTATAATATAACATAAGAATACAATGTTTTTTAACGTTTTAAATTATGTTTATAGCCAACACTCAATAATAATAATTAATATTATGTAACTACGTGTAGATAAACATACATTATAGCTAGGGCCGTCCTAAGTCCCAGGGTAAATAAAAATTCGTGGGTCCTAAAATTATAGATTCATTAAGTTATAG